GGAACACCATCGGCATTGACAAAATCACCATCAGTCAATTACAAAAGGCAGCTTTACTTGGAACAGCTTACATCCTGCAACAGTACCTTTAACACCATCAAACAATAACATCTGCCTATCTGAGGTCCTTGGGAAGGAATAAGTGGATAAAAATTTATTTATTTTATTTATTAAATTTGTATGCTGCCCATCTCCCCCAGTGGGTGACTCTAAAAAATGCCAAATCCAGTCTAAACATCTGGCTGATTGTACGACCAACCATAATAATACAAAGTGCTTTGAGCATCTAGAAGTACGTGCATTTAAAAGTACTGGCATATGACAATCAAACAATTTGTTAAAGCCCTGGGAAGCAGAATTTTAATTATTAAATAAAGTCTCTAGACTATATTACTACAAATTATGGTGGTGCTATGTGTCTTAAAATATCTTTCCCAAACAGAATTAAACCACCTAAAATGTTCCCACATGGGGAAGCTTCTCACTGTGAGTTCCAAGCCTATTCAGTGGACAAACCATTTCAAATTAAGTAAAGTGACTTATAGTACATTAGATGGGGTTGGGAACAAATAACATTAAATTTTAAAAAATGTTTTTCCCTATATAACACTTTGGAAGATACTTCTAGTAGTATTTTAGCAAGGCTCCCAAATTCTCACTGCATCTCACGAATCTTAACAGAGACCAATTTTCAATTACTGCTATTGTTGAGGAAGAAGGGAGCAGGGTTACGTAGCTTTTTAATTTTATGGTTCAGAACAAAGAATAGGAATTCAAAAAGAATGTATTTGTGTTGCCCACTTGCACTTAAAAGTGTTTTTATATATACAGCATGAAAGATTGCATTGACTATTGTTGCTGCACTAGGCAATGATATCCTGCCACTAAACTGACAAAGGACCCACTCAGAACTTACCCCATTAACCTATCCTAAATCTCTGCCCACAAAAAAATGAACTTCCTGATGGAACACATGGGTAAGGAAAGGGGGAAACTACTGTATTTGTCTGATTTTTCCTTTTGAACTCGGCATTTTCAGAAGAAGAAGCAAGTCTTTATGAAAAGTCCATGCTACGTATGCGTTTTACTATTACTATTGTATCTTTCTTGGTGTGATGGAGGATTATAGGTATGTGTTCAGTTGGTTTAAAATAAAACCTGGGTATACGAGTATTTTCAAAATAATTAGTAGAAATTTATGGGTGGATAGTGTTTACCAAGTTACTACATTATTTATTAAATTACACTTTTTTGTCTTTTTGGTTTTCAGATATGTCATTTAAGACATTTTTTTTTCTGTCATGAAGCTGTCATATCCGGCCAGATAGCAAAATTGTGATGAAAGTGGCTGAAAAGTTTCTAATTTTAGTTTTCTTCTGAAATCTTGAGATGGAAGGTCAAAGGTAGCTTTGAACTAATAGTGATCTATCAATATTCACTTTATAAGCGTGCTTAATTATAATGTAAATGTTTTCTCCAATCTTGTTATTATTAAGAGAAAAAATATGAATAAAAATATAGTCCTCTCTTGTAGAATCCTAATAGAAATTGAATACAGGTAGTCCTCACTTACTGACCACAACTGGGACTGACAACTCTGTTACTAAGCGAGATGGTAAAATGTCACGTGAGTGTGGGGATGCTGTGATGGCTGCAAGTTTGAGGACTGGTCATAAATCTCCTTCTTTAGTGCAGTTTTAACTTTGAACAGTTGCTGAGTGAGGGGTCAGTAAGCAAAGACTACCTGTAAAGTAATTTACAAATTCCTACTGGAGGCCTGATCAGTGACCATCAGAAGTTCTGCCTTAGCCCTCTGTTATTCATAGGTTGAATATGCATGATTGATTTTTTCCACTCAAGAAAAATTGACCCATTATTGGAGAAACAACTGCTGAATTATCACAGTTTGTGATAATTGCCCGCTAAAATAAATAATTTATTTCCTCTGGAATGGTCACTTCAGTGGGAATTTGTTTATTGTGGTATCTTAGGGTGGAGATGTTTAAGATCATTCAAAAGCTTTCTTATGGCAATGAAAACATTAAATATCAGACTTGTATCTGATAGAAATTACGGCAGACATGACTGAGAAATCTCATGGAGAATGATGTGGGTGTTAATTTGAAAGAGCCTTCTTCCTGGAGCCTGGGTTAGGGTTAGTTGGAAGACTCTTAATTCCCTTTGTACCCAGGTCAGTAGGTCAGCGTCAACATGGTGAAATGGGGGTATTTCACTGGATCAGAGACCTATGATTGTGGAAGAAGTAGACTCTACAGAATTTCCCACTTTGTCCTCTCTGAGGGCAGCCAGTTGCACACTGCAGGACCTCACTGAGGTCAACTCATGAGCACTGTAGTATGTGCACAGTGGTGGAAAGAAATATGACTTGATGAATGAACACAAGAAGAAAACGACTGTTGAGATCATGTCATGTGATACTGCACTTTGCTGTAGTGCTGTGTCGGCTCATTTGCAGCTTCAGTTATCTCTCCTTTGTTCAGTTAGAAGATATATCAATTCTTGAACTTTATGTGTAATGATTTATTTAATTGTGGCTTCTGCCCAGCTTGAATTAGCTTATGAAAGTGCTGTCCCCAGTCTTTCTAGGAATCACCTTTTCTTCCTTAGAGAATGTGATTATCTTTCATTCTACGTAGTGTATCTTCAGCGGACTAGCATGAAAATTAGATTGCATAATTTATGTCCTGCCAAGCTGAACACCACCCATTCTCCAACTATTTTGTTTTGTCTTGTGTTTGATGATCCATATCCCATATTTATTGTACCTGAGAGAGAGAAACTGGAGATTTTACCAGACCATAGTGAGCTGCTAGATCTGTGTGTTGATTGGTATTCAGCTTGGTGAATCACCAGTTGCACAGACTTAATACAAACACATGTAAAACACAACAGAACTGGATTTCACAATGAAGAACATATAAAATGGATATTAGAAACAATCAGAGTGTGGTAATTAGATGGTGGTGGTGTTAGTGCTGTTTACTTAGAAATAAAATCAGTTGAAATCCAAGTGAGGCTTTTCCCAGTAAATGTACTAAGGTACTAGGTATATCAAGGTACTAAGTAAAAGCCATAGAAATAGCTTAAAAAATTAAAAGGAAGATACAGTTATGGGTATTCTGCACCTCCCAAAATAATGGTCTGATAAGAAACACAGTCTTCCCACATATAGGTGAGAAGTTTTCATCTGCTCTATATTCTATTTTGCTAGGTTGTGATCTTCCATCATTTTTAAAGCTTGCAGACAGCCAAATTTGTCTTAAAGAGCTTAGAGGAATAATCCAAGGGGTGAAGCTTGATCTTAGACTAGAGAATATGGGTGTATTAAAATATCTAATCAAATAACCAGGAATAAAATGCTTCCATGACAATTGTACTTTTTGACATGCAGGACACCACTCATATAACCTTGAGTTGCAGTAGAAGAACCAGTTACTTATGATGTAAGATAAATATGTAGACCATTTTGCTTCTTATGAAGAAAAATGTGGAGGCAAGAGAGATGCAAATGTAACAGATGGTAACAATGCCATTTGATCCTTCCTTGGGGGATGTAAGAAGATGTTAAAAACCTCTTTTTATACTCACTTCCCCCCACCCCAAGAACCTGTGTTTTTCAGTTTGTCACCTGGTTATTTTATGGTTGCAACTATGAATGTTGCTGCTGTTTGTTTACTGTTATTTATAATTTGTGATGATGTTTTAGTGCATTTTAGAAATTATGATTTTAGTTACAGTGTTGTTTTAGACTGATCTTATTGTTAGCCTCTGCAGGCTGGTTTGACCAGGAGCGAACAGGAGAAAAGAGAGAGAGAGAGAGAGAGAGAGAGAGAAGGATTTGTATAATGAACAGTACGTTCAGAGAATAAAATTTCCTACTTTGTACTCTTCGATCCGTACATTTCCTACTTTTAATATTTATTATTTCATAAGTTGGAGGATAATATGACAAACACCTTAACTCTGTAATCAATACTTTTGAAGCTCAGAATACAGTTATTTGCCTAGTATTCCTTGCAGTTACCAAGCTTGCAGTTTCAACCTGTATTAAGTGAAGTGATGCTGCAGCATTCATAAACATTTGTAGATGTTTCTTTTAATAAATAGGCTTTGAGTAATGTCTACAAATTCTCCACTGTGCTCCAGTGGCGCAAAGAGAATGCTTTACACTTTCTCCTCCAAACAGAAGGAACACCAATGCCATAATGGAAACTTAAGAGGGTCAGAAGGTTATTTTATCTCATAACTTTCAATGAAAATGAGGTGAAGTTCTAGCCAGAGTGTTTCACAATGGGATTATAAAAGATGTAAATGAATTTAAAGGTCATGATAGGATGCTGAAGGACTTTTACTGTTCTTAGCCACACACATCCCCTGCATAGCAGAGGGGTGAATATAATATATTCCGATATAGTGTAAGAGTCCGTTGGAGTCGGGCGACCAACAAATTTAAATGAAATTAAATAAATAAATAAGTAAATAAGTAAATTTGTTTTGTTTTGTTTTTAGATTTCCCAGTTGATCACTGAGTCTGGCCGAGAAGGACTGACTGAAGCCGTGCTGAACCATTACAATGCAGACAAACCTTCCTTGTACAGCTTCCCCAGTTCCCAAAGCACCTGTGTTGCTAGTGATGCCTCCACAGGCACCTCAGCGGCAGCTTCCTTTTTTGCCAGGTAAGACTGAAAGTTCTCTGCAGCTCTGGATTACTTTGAGATTGTCAAATACCTGTATAAGGGAAGCATGCTCGAAGACTTGATCGAAGGGTATAGTAACATAGTTAATATTACATGCTGAAATTTTACATGGAATGATTTGTTGGGTATGGAATAACATGAGGTATCAGTTTTTCATCTTTTATTGGGAAGAAATGCTTTCAAATGCACAAGAGCATGAAAGCAGCACCCTCTGGGACACAGGCCTTTATTCAATTCATGAGAGTGTGGCGGCTGAATTGAGGCTCCCATCTTTTCTTGACTGCCACAGTATACATAGGCATGTCACTCTAGTCATTTTTACAAGTGATTCTCTGTCACTAGTTGATGGCCTTAATTTTATTTACAGTGTGATGTGTTTCCAAGGTGAAGGCAACTAAATTACTCCAAGCTAGAGAGTTTTGTTGAAAATAACTACCTGTTTGCTGAATTAATCTTTTCTTTGGAAAAATCGTTATGGAAGTATTAGTAATTCTTGTCCTTGGTTTGACATGTTAGAAAATCCTACAGATATGCCTAGACTGAATCAAACCTCTTAATATCTCTGGTTAAAAAACAACCATCATTTTCTTTTAATTCTGAAAAGTTAGAAGAACTGTGAAGCTATTTTCTTATATTGCTTATACCAAGTAATCCCATTTATTTCCTGAACCTTCAGTTTGTTTAGGGCCCAACATTTCTTAAATGGTGGCAAACTATGTATGTAATTAATGAATTAATTCCTGGTGTAATCTCTCATATTTTCAATGATTTACAAATGTATGCTTTATCAGAATCATAGTGACTTTCTGACAATAGCATAATTAAAACAATAACTAGAAATCAAAATACTACTGATTTTCACTGATTTTCATTTGGCACAAATTTTCATTTGGCACAAACAACTGAAATCTTGGAGTCAATATTATGTGTGTTACTCAGTTAGGAAGTGGGTGTCCTTTTGAGGGATACCTGCAAGGCTTCAATTAATGATTTTACATAAATCATTGTCATCAAATTTTTATTACTAAGTGGGATATATATGCTGATTAGTATACCAGTCTGATTATTTCTTCCTGTACATTTAGGCATTATACTGAAATTAGTAGATGTTGTAATAAAAGACCACAGTATATGATCCAGTCTGGTGTTGATTTAGCAGAGAGTCTATAACTTCCTTTATCCAAGAGAAATAATTGAAATGCCTTCTTTCATCTCAGGGCTAGATTACTTTCTACTGTACTTGAAGAGTCACCGGCTGCTCACATATGTTCAGCTGTTGTATATGTACATGAGAAAACAGTTTCTGTGATTATATCCACAGTGTTTGCATTGGTGAACTATTTGGAAATGTATGTTGGCTGGATCTACCTGCCTTCTGGTTCATATTTACATTTCTTCCAGTTGGAGGTTGGATCTACTAACATAATTGATAAAACAAAAGTTTGAATCAATCCTCAGTAATAATGTCTTCTATTCTGGAGCACTGTGGATTTGAACAAGAGTAATTGGGCAGCAAGGACATAACAGCAATTGTTATCCTTTGTCATGTTAGAAAGTTACAGTAGTCCAATTGGTGTTATGTTTAAGCTAGGATTGCAGAATTTGTGTTCAGGTTGCTAGAAATGTTTCTTGTTACTCAGTCATTGCAACTGTATCTACAGATGAGAAAAGAAGTTTAATTGAAGAAATGAATAATTCTTGTTACCTGTACATTGCAAGTCTATGTAGTATACTTTTACTTTCGGGATGCAAAATGAAAAGAAAAAAGAAAAGTGGATATTGGTTATAAAAGTGGAAAGTAGAAAATGTCAGATTCAGGCACTGATGAAACTGATGTAAAAATAGCTACTCTTGCTATTCTTATAAAAGAATTATAAGAAAACCTGTAAAACCTTAATGATAATCTTTTGCTTTGCCAACTCTCTTCCTGTTATAACAATTACTGGCTAACACAGTTGTTAAAGCACAGCTGTAACATTTTTAACACTCCAGCCACACGTTTACCATTTCTACTGAGTACTGTTGACAAGGCTAGTAAAAGAAGTAGTGTTTTGTTAAGACAGCAATTCATTCAGCCAACTTTCTCCATGCAATTAGTGGTTAAAAACCAAGGGCAACTCAAAAATGTAAAGAAACCTCTGTGTAACTTCAAGAAAAGTTAACATATGTCTAGTTTGGCTCAAGGTTATATGTTTATGTATGGTTTTATTTTACAACAAGATCACAGTATGTTGGGGGAAATTTTATAAAATGGCTGTGTTGTTTAAATATATAGCTGGTTTGCACACATTCCTCAATTTAGCGTAACCATAAATCTTTTTATCTATTGACATGAAATGGTTATTTTATAAAGGAAAGTGTGTGCTTCTAAATGTGGCCACATTTTTTACCCAAAGGCACTACATTCCTGAGAAATAAAAACTCAGTAATACAAGAGACTGATCCTGTTGACTGTTAATCTTCAAAATCAGTGTAAATGAATTGTTCAGTTAGAAATACAAAAGTGAAACAAGACAAAAAGTATTTGTAGATTCTGCTATGCTTTGTGCATGTGTGAGGGTGATCATGATACTTGTCCCTTTCCCCGTGGAAGATGTACGTAATTGCTATATGCGTAAGATAGTCTTGGATATACTATATAAAAAAGAGTACCACTGACACATCTCAACCAATATATGGAGGATGTAACTATGGAGGAAGCAGAGCCATTAGAATGTTAACAACTTTGCTTTCCACCTATGGAGACGAACATCTGAATAGAAGAACCTGGTGCCTTCCACATATGTTCAGCTATAACTCCAATAATTCTCAACTAGCATAGCACCGGGAAAAGAAAGAAATTGCAACTCAGCCACAAAAACTTACTGTGTAGCTGTGCTTACTGATTGTCATTTAACTTTTGCCACAGAGTTGTTTTGCAGGTACAATAAACTAACCCTATTTATCATGCCACAGACTCCTAAGAGGAAGGGTAGGATATATATGGGATAAATAAACAATATGATAGAAGCAGTTAGACATTTATCTTGGGCAGCAGAATGCCCAAAGGCACCCTTATGTAAAGCATCCAGCAATAAATTATACAAAATTGTTATGTGTATATATTCACAGTTTTTTAAAAAATTCAGCAGTAGATAAAGCATGTACATTTAAATTAGCATGTATAAAGCTTCAAAGTGTGTTGTTAATTCTGAAGTAATCTTACAGCTATAAGAAAAGTTCATATGCCTATTTACATACCTACTATGTAAGTCTTCACATAGTGTATGTGTAACTTTCACACCTATGTGTAAGTTTGACAGGCTCAGTCAACATAAAGGATGGGGATCTGGGTACAAAGGCCTTCAGAAAGATTTGCTTTGATCACCTGTGTGAAGAGCACTCACTGATAGGAAGTCTCCACCTGAGTCAATAGGATTAAACAGTCCCCATGAGACTAAAACAGTATGTGAAATGGCTTCGGTAGAAAGGATACTTAAAATAGTTGTTCCCCCCTCTCATAAAAATTGAATTCTGGGATTAGAGATTTGTTTACACCTAAAGTTCATCTTGAAGAGTGTTGTACCATGGCTTTTAATGGGTATTGCTGTATAGTACTCTTGTTCTGAACTTAATTTAAATAAACCAAAAGATATTTATTTTTCTTTGTGCTATTCCACTTTGCAGTATCCCCATTTTCAGGAATGAGTGATTACAAGAAGGATGCCCTGGTCCAGGAAAGGGTGTAAATGGTGCACCAAATGAATGCAAAGGACTTCCTGGCCACAGCTGCTACCTACTCTAGGAGGACCCCCAAATTGTGCACCAGTTCCATCTGGGGAAGTGTAAGACATCTAGAAATGAAGATGGCAGGTGTCTGATGCTGAGAGAACCAAAAATTTACAGCTACTCTGTCTTGACAGCATTGCTTGGTCAGCCCAAGATTGAGATGTACAGCTTAGTATCATCAGAATACTGATGGTTTTGGGCCCCTTGCCAGCCAATGATGTCACCCAGTGCTTTCATGTAGATATTAAATGGAAGAGGTGAGAACGTTGAGCCCTGAGGCCCTCCATAAGTAGGGGACCAAAGGCTCGACTCCCCCCACCCCAATACTGACTGGAACCAACCCGAGAGAAAGGAAAACCATCTTAACACCATGCCTCTCACTCCTCATCCCATGGTCAGCCCAGAAAGATCATGATTGATGGTATTGAAAACTACAGAGAGATCAAGAAGAGCTAGGATAATTGGACCACCCCCATCCAGGCTTTGCTAAAGGTCATTCACAAACATAATCAATGCTGTCTCTATACTGTATCCTGGCCTGAAGCCCAACTGGAAAGGATCCCAAGTATCTTTTTCAAACATGGCTCTTTAAAGTTGCAAGCCAACCATCTTAACAACCTCCCCAAGAAAGGGAAGGTTGTCCAGAACTGTTGGGTCCACCAGTCGCTTTTTTAGGAGGGAATAAAATACTGAAACTTTCCGGGCAGATGGCATCACTTCCTCACACAAAGAAACATTGACCATTGCTGATGGTCACGTCTCTGAGAGAGGAACACCTTCTTCTGGAGCCACTTAGATCTTGGTAATACAGGTTAGGTCAGTCACCTCATTGAGGATAAGATCTCAAAACTCCCTCTCCAGAAGTCTTTTGCTTACAGTTTCTGAATCTTCTTATAAGAGTTCTTATTTGCCTTGTGGACAATACACAGGCCATTTTTAGTTCTGAGATTAACAGTATGTGGTCTTTCAAATATTGTTGATTGCATTTTCTCTGATTTCTCACTACTGGCATGCTCACTGCAGCTGATGGAAGCTGGAGTCAACAATATCTGGAGGGGCACATGTCCATTTTAGTTTATGCTTTGGTTTATTATCGGTTGGATTATTCCAACTGTGTCCCTGTTTTATTCTGCTTTATATTTATATTGGACAATTTATTTCTGTTTTTTGCTATGCTTATCTTAGTTTTTGTCCCATAAATTTAATAGTTT